AGTGACCACACAGTGACACACACAGTGAGTGACACACACACAGTGACACACAGTGACACACACAGTGACACACAGAGTGACACACACAGTGACACACACAGTGACACACACAGTGAGTGACACACACACAGTGACACACACAGTGACACACACAGTGAGACACACACAGTGACACACACATACACAGTCACACACAGAGTGACACACACAGTGACACACACAGTGACAAACACACACACACACACAGTGACACACAGTGACACACACACACACAGTGACACACACAGACACACAAACACACAGTGACACACACACACAGTGACACACAGTGACACACACAGTGACACACACACAGTGACACATACAGTGACACACACAGACCCTGAGTCTCTACTAGACCCTGAGTCTCTACTAGACCCTGAGTCTCTACTAGACCCTGAGTCTCTACTACACCCTGAGTCTCTACTAGACCCTGAGTCTCTACTACACCCTGAGTCTCTACTAGACCCTGAGTCTCTACTACACCCTGAGTCTCTACTACACCCTGAGTCTCTACTAGACCCTGAGTCTCTACTAGACCCTGAGTCTCTACTAGACCCTGAGTCCCGGACTCTAACCTGTCACCTGGAACTCGCTGGCCGCACACTCGTAGTAGTTTCCGCGGAGCAAAGCAGCGACGAGCCACACGACGGGAGCCAGGAGCGAGCGCGTGAGAGCCTGGAGACTCAGCGTGCAGCAGATGCCAGGGCCGATGGGGACGCTGTTAGAGACACAGCCTGGAGCAGACACAGACACACACGCAGATACACACACTGATAGACACAGACACACACAGGTACACACAGACACATACAGACACACACACAGATACATACATAGACACACAGACACAGATGCCAGGGCCGATGGGGACGCTGTTAGAGACACAGCCTGGGGCAGACACAGACACACACGCAGATACACACACAGATAGACACAGACATACACACACAGACAGACACATACAGACACACACAGATACATACATACACACACAGACACACACACACAGACACAGATGCCAGGGCCGATGGGGACGCTGTTAGAGACACAGCCTGGAGCAGACACAGATACACACGCAGATACACACACTGATAGACACAGACATACACACACAGATACAGACACACACACACACACAGATACACACACAGACACACACACACACACCCACACAGACACAGAGACACACACAGACACACACACAGACACACACAGACACACACACACAGACACACACACACACACAGACAGACACAGAGACACACACACAGACATACACACAGACACAGATGCCAGGGCCGATGGGGACGCTGTTAGAGACACAGCCTGGGGCAGACACAGACACACACGCAGATACAGATACACACACAGATACACACATACACAGACATACACAGACATATACACAGACACACAGACACAGAGACACACACAGATACACACAGACACAGATACACACACAGAGACACAGATACAGATACACACACAGATACACACACAGATACATACATAGACACACAGACACGCACACAGATACACACACAGATACACACACAGATACACACACAGATACAGACGGACACACACAGACACACACAGACACACACGTACACAGATACACACACAGACACAGATACACACACCAATACAGACACACACACAGAGACACATACAGACACACACACAGACACAGACACACACACAGATAGACACACAGACACACACACACAGATACACACACAGACACACAGATACAGATACACACACAGATACACACACAGACACAGATACACACACAGACACACAAACACAGATACACAGAGACACACACAGACACAGATACACACACAGACACACACAAAGACACACACAGAGACACACACACAGACACACACACTGCGACATACAACAACAACTGCCTTGCCTGCATCCCTCCACGGATGTTCGTCTTCGGTGGGGGCATAAGTAACCACGACCACCACTCCTCGCCTCTGGTTGATGGGAAGGCGAGCCCAAAGTATCCTGGGGCTTACAGCTTCCCACACCTCACCGCCACGCTCCCACGCCCCCCTCATTCTTTTGTTCAGAAGAAGAGCCACTCCCTGTTGTTTGGCAGTCTCCTGCCCCGAGTGGAGGACTGTCCACCCCTCATGGTGGCAGGAGCCAGAACCGGTCCACCAGACCTCCTGAATGCCACAGAGATCCAGGCGGTACCGGTCCAGCTCCCGACAGATGAGTGGCAGCCTCTCCTCCGCAGTGAGCGTTCGAACATTCCACGTGGCCATCCGCAATGGTTTTTTGTTGTTTCTGGAGGAGCCCCGAGGGTGAAGATTCAATCTCCTGGCTCCGCCAATTGGGGTTTGGCCAGGAGACGTCATAGAAGCCTGTCCCCCCGGGGCCTCCGGCACAAGCTGATTAGTTACATGTTTATGTTCATATCGTAGTCTCGTGATAATTCATTGAAGGTGGAGGGGTTACCAGCCCCTCGCACCCGTCCAGAGCCCCCGTTTAGCCACTGTGGTGGTCACAAACGCCATGAGGGGAGAGGCCAATGGGCCTCTCCCCACCGGACCTCCTGAATACCGCAGAGATCCAGGCGGTACCGGTCCAGCTCCCGACAGAGGAGTGGCAGCCTCTCCTCTGCAACACAAACCAGACCCGGTCCACGGGACCTCCTGTATACCACGGAAGTCGAGGTGGTACCGGTCCAGCTCCCGACAGAGGAGTGGCAGCCTCTCCTCCGCAACTTTCCACGTGGCCAATCGCAGTGTTCTACTGCTCCTGAAGGAACCCTGAGACACCGTGGCTACAGTACCGCTAGAGACACTGACGCTGGCTAGCGTACCGCTAGAGACACCGTGGCTACAGTACCGCTAGAGACACTGACGCGGGCTAGCGTACCGGTAGAGACACCGTGGCTACAGTACCGCTAGAGACACTGACGCTGGCTAGCGTACCGGTAGAGACACCGTGGCTACAGTACCGCTAGAGACACTGACGCTGGCTAGCGTACCGGTAAGAGACACCGTGGCTACAGTACCGCTAGAGACACTGACGCGGGCTAGCGTACCGGTAAGAGACACCGTGGCTACAGTACCGCTAGAGACACTGACGCGGGCTAGCGTACCGGTAGAGACACCGTGGCTACAGTACCGCTAGAGACACTGACGCGGGCTAGCGTACCGGTAAGAGACACCGTGGCTACAGTACCGCTAGAGACACTGACGCTGGCTAGCGTACCGGTAGAGACACCGTGGCTACAGTACCGCTAGAGACACTGACGCGGGCTAGCGTACCGGTAAGAGACACCGTGGCTACAGTACCGCTAGAGACACTGACGCGGGCTAGCGTACCGGTAAGAGACACCGTGGCTACAGTACCGCTAGAGACACTGACGCGGGCTAGCGTACCGGTAGAGACACCGTGGCTACAGTACCGCTAGAGACACTGACGCTGGCTAGCGTACCGGTAGAGACACCGTGGCTACAGTACCGCTAGAGACACTGACGCTGGCTAGCGTACCGCTAGAGACACCGTGGCTACAGTACCGCTAGAGACACTGACGCGGGCTAGCGTACCGGTAGAGACACCGTGGCTACAGTACCGCTAGAGACACTGACGCGGGCTAGCGTACCGGTAGAGACACCGTGGCTACAGTACCGCTAGAGATACTGACGCTGGCTAGCGTACCGGTAGAGACACCGTGGCTACAGTACCGCTAGAGACACTGACGCGGGCTAGCGTACCGGTAGAGACACCGTGGCTACAGTACCGCTAGAGACACTGACGCTGGCTAGCGTACCGGTAGAGACACCGTGGCTACAGTACCGGTAGAGACACTGACGCTGGCTAGCGTACCGGTAGAGACACCGTGGCTACAGTACCGCTAGAGACACTGACGCGGGCTAGCGTACCGGTAGAGACACCGTGGCTACAGTACCGCTAGAGACACTGACGCTGGCTAGCGTACCGGTAGAGACACCGTGGCTACAGTACCGCTAGAGACACTGACGCTGGCTAGCGTACCGGTAGAGACACCGTGGCTACAGTACCGCTAGAGACACTGACGCTGGCTAGCGTACCGGTAGAGACACCGTGGCTACAGTACCGCTAGAGACACTGACGCTGGCTAGCGTACCGGTAGAGACACCGTGGCTACAGTACCGCTAGAGACGCTGACGCTGGCTAGCGTACCGGTAGAGACACCGTGGCTACAGTACCGCTAGAGACGCTGACGCTGACTAGCGTACCGCTAGAGACACGGGGCTTTGTACCGCTAGAGGCACTGACGCTGGCTAGCGTACCGGTAGACACACCGTACCGGTAGAGACACGGGGGCTTTGCACCACTAGAGACACCGGTAGACACACCGTACCGGTAGAGACACGGGGGCTTTGCACCGCTAGAGACACCGGTAGACACACCGTACCGGTAGAGACACCAACTAAGAGACGCTAGGCTTCAAGAGACGCTAGGCCCTGCCTTACCGGCTAAGAGACGCTAGGCTTCAAGAGACGCTAGGCCCTGCCCTACCGACTAAGAGACGCTAGGCTTCAAGAGACGCTTGGCCCTGCCCTACCGGCTAAGAGACGCTAGGCTTCAAGAGACGCTAGGCCCTGCCCTACCGGCTAAGAGACGCTAGGCTTCAAGAGACGCTAGGCCCCGCCCTACCGACTAAGAGACGCTAGGCTTCAAGAGACGCTTGGCCCTGCCCTACCGACTAAGAGACGCTAGGCTTCAAGAGACGCTAGGCCCCGCCCTACCGGCTAAGAGACGCTAGGCTTCAAGAGACGCTTGGCCCTGCCCTACCGACTAAGAGACGCTAGGCTTCAAGAGACGCTAGGCCCTGCCTTACCGGCTAAGAGACACTAGGCTTCAAGAGACGCTAGGCCCTGCCTTACCGGCTAAGAGACGCTAGGCTTCAAGAGACGCTTGGCCCTGCCTTACCGGCTAAGAGACGCTAGGCTTCAAGAGACGCTAGGCCCTGCCCTACCGGCTAAGAGACACTAGGCTTCAAGAGACGCTAGGCCCTGCCCTACCGGCTAAGAGACGCTAGGCTTCAAGAGACGCTAGGCCCTGCCCTACCGGCTAAGAGACACTAGGCTTCAAGAGACGCTAGGCCCTGCCTTACCGGCTAAGAGACACTAGGCTTCAAGAGACGCTAGGCCCTGCCTTACCGGCTAAGAGACACTAGGCTTCAAGAGACGCTAGGCCCTGCCTTACCGGCTAAGAGACGCTAGGCTTCAAGAGACGCTAGGCCCTGCCTTACCGGCTAAGAGACGCTAGGCTTCAAGAGACGCTAGGCCCTGCCTTACCGGCTAAGAGACGCTAGGCTTCAAGAGACACTAGGCCCCGCCCTACCGGCTAAGAGACGCTAGGCTTCAAGAGACGCCAGGCCCCGCCTTACCGGCTAAAAGACGCTAGGCTTCAAGAGACGCTAGGCCCCGCCCTACCGGCTAAGAGACGCTAGGCTTCAAGAGACGCTAGGCCCTGCCTTACCGGCTAAAAGACGCTAGGCTTCAAGAGACGCTAGGCCCTGCCTTACCGGCTAAGAGACGCTAGGCTTCAAGAGACGCTAGGCCCTGCCTTACCGGCTAAGAGACACTAGGCTTCAAGAGACGCTAGGCCCTGCCTTACCGGCTAAGAGACGCTAGGCTTCAAGAGACGCTAGGCCCTGCCTTACCGGCTAAGAGACACTAGGCTTCAAGAGACGCTAGGCCCTGCCTTACCGGCTAAGAGTCACTAGGCTTCAAGAGACGCTAGGCCCTGCCCTACCGACTAAGAGACGCTAGGCTTCAAGAGACGCTAGGCCCTGCCCTACCGACTAAGAGACGCTAGGCTTCAAGAGACGCTAGGCTTCAAGAGACGCTAGGCCCTGCCCTACCGGCTAAGAGACGCTAGGCTTCAAGAGACGCTAGGCTTCAAGAGACGCTAGGCCCTGCCCTACCGGCTAAGAGACGCTAGGCTTCAAGAGACGCTAGGCCCCGCCCTACCGGCTAAGAGACGCTAGGCTTCAAGAGACGCTAGGCCCTGCCTTACCGGCTAAGAGACACTAGGCTTCAAGAGACTCTAGGCCCTGCCCTACCGGCTAAGAGACGCTAGGCTTCAAGAGACGCTAGGCCCTGCCCTACCGGCTAAGAGACGCTAGGCTTCAAGAGACGCTAGGCCCCGCCCTACCGGCTAAGAGACGCTAGGCTTCAAGAGACGCTAGGCCCCGCCCTACCGGCTAAGAGACGCTAGGCTTCAAGAGACGCTAGGCCCTGCCGTACCGGCTAAGAGACACTAGGCTTCAAGAGACGCTAGGCCCCGCCCTACCGGTTAAGAGACGCTAGGCTTCAAGAGACGCTAGGCCCTGCCGTACCGGCTAAGAGACGCTAGGCTTCAAGAGACGCTAGGCCCTGCCTTACCGGCTAAGAGACACTAGGCTTCAAGAGACGCTAGGCCCTGCCTTACCGGCTAAGAGACGCTAGGCTTCAAGAGACGCTAGGCCCTGCCTTACCGGCTAATAGACACTAGGCTTCAAGAGACGCTAGGCCCTGCCTTACCGGCTAAGAGACACTAGGCTTCAAGAGACGCTAGGCCCTGCCCTACCGGCTAAGAGACACTAGGCTTCAAGAGACGCTAGGCCCTGCCTTACCGGCTAAGAGACACTAGGCTTCAAGAGACGCTAGGCCCTGCCCTACCGGCTAAGAGACACTAGGCTTCAAGAGACGCTAGGCCCTGCCTTACCGGCTAAGAGACACTAGGCTTCAAGAGACGCTAGGCCCTGCCCTACCGGCTAAGAGACACTAGGCTTCAAGAGACGCTAGGCCCTGCCTTACCGGCTAAGAGACACTAGGCTTCAAGAGACGCTGGGCCCTGCCTTACCGGCTAAGAGACGCTAGGCTTCAAGAGACGCTAGGCCCTGCCTTACCGGCTAAGAGACGCTAGGCTTCAAGAGACGCTAGGCCCTGCCCTACCGACTAAGAGACGCTAGGCTTCAAGAGACGCTAGGCCCTGCCTTACCGGCTAAGAGACGCTAGGCTTCAAGAGACGCTAGGCTTCAAGAGACGCTAGGCCCCGCCCTACCGGCTAAGAGACGCTAGGCTTCAAGAGACGCCAGGCCCCGCCGTACCGGTGAGCGACCGCTGCGTGTGGTTGTTGACGGCGAGCCCGGCTAGCAGCAGGAGGAGCGCCGGGCCCAGGGCGGCCACGGCGGCCAGCGCCGGGTTGCGGCCCGGCGAACAGGGGCACGGCGTGGACACGACGGTGAAGAGCTCGTGGCCGGCGAAGACGCAGACGGCCACCAGGGAGGCGAGCAGCGACGACTGACGGCCACGCAGGAACTCCAACACGGGGCCCAGCAACGACTCCATGGCTGGGGGGGGGAGAGAGGGGGGTGGGGGGAGGGGGGGGAGAGAGGAGGGGAGGGGGGGGAGAGAGGGGAGGGGAGGAGAGGGGGCGGTGGGGGGAGGGGTGAGAGAGGGGGGAAGGGGGGAAGAGAGGGGAGGGGGGAGAGAGGGGAGGGGTGAGAGGGGGGGAGAGGGGGGAGGAGGGGGGGAGGGGGGGGGAGAGGGGGGAGGAGGGGGGAGGAGGGGGGGGAGAGGGGGGGGTGAGTCTCTATGAGTGTGGGTCTCTGTGGGTCTCTGTGGGTCTCTGTGAGTGTGGGTCTCTGTGAGTGTGGGTCTCTGTGGGTCTCTGTGAGTGTGGGTCTCTGTGGGTCTCTGTGGGTCTGTGGGTGTGGGTCTCTGTGGGTCTCTGTGAGTGTGGGTCTCTGTGGGTCTCTGTGAGTGTGGGTCTCTGTGGGTCTCTGTGAGTGTGGGTCTCTGTGGGTCTCTGTGGGTCTGTGGGTGTGGGTCTCTGTGGGTCTCTGTGAGTGTGGGTCTCTGTGGGTCTCTGTGAGTGTGGTCTCTGTGGGTCTCTGTGGGTCTCTGTGAGTGTGGGTCTCTGTGGGTCTCTGTGGGTCTCTGTGAGTGTGGGTCTCTGTGGGTCTCTATGAGTGTGGGTCTCTGTGGGTCTCTGTGAGTCTCTATAAGTGTGGGTCTCTATGGGTCTCTGTGGGTCTCTATGAGTGTGGGTCTCTGTGGGTCTCTATGAGTGTGGGTCTCTGTGGGTCTCTATGAGTGTGGGTCTCTGTGGGTCTCTATGAGTTTGGGTCTCTGTGGGTCTCTGTGAGTGTGGGTCTCTGTGGGTCTCTGTGGGTCTCTATGAGTGTGGGTCTCTATGAGTGTAGGTCTCTATGAGTATGGGTCTCTGTGGGTCTCGCTCTGAGTGTGGGTCTCTATGAGTGTGGGTTTCTGTGGGTCTCTATGAGTGTGGGTCTCTGTGGGTCTCTGTGGGTCTCTCTGAGTGTGGGTCTCTGTGAGTGTGGGTCTCTATGAGTGTGGGTCTCTGTGGGTCTCTGTGGGTCTCTCTGAGTGTGGGTCTCTATGAGTGTGGGTCTCTGTGAGTGTCGGTCTCTGTGGGTCTCTATGAGTGTGGGTCTCTGTGGGTCTCTATGAGTATGGGTCTCTGTGGGTCTCTATGAGTGTGGGTCTCTGTGGGTCTCTATGAGTGTGGGTCTCTGTGGGTCTCTATGAGTGTGGGTCTCTGTGGGTCTCTGTGAGTGTGGGTCTCTGTGGGTCTCTATGAGTGTGGGTCTCTGTGGGTCTCTATGAGTGTGGGTCTCTATGAGTGTGGGTCTCTGTGGGTCTCTATGAGTGTGGGTCTCTGTGGGTCTCTGTGGGTCTGAGTGTGGGTCTCTATGAGTGTGGGTCTCTGTGGGTCTCTGTGGGTCTATGTGGGTCTCTATGAGTCTATATGGGTCTCTGTGGGTCTCTATGAGTGTGGGTCTCTGTGAGTGTGGGTCTCTGTGAGTGTGGGTCTCTATGAGTGTGGGTCTCTATGAGTGTGGGTCTCTATGAGTACGGGTCTCTATGAGTGTGGGTCTCTGTGAGTGTGGGTCTCTGTGAGTATGGGTCTCTATGAGTGTGGGTCTCTGTGGGTCTCTATGAGTATGGGTCTCTATGAGTATGGGTCTCTGTGGGTCTCTATGAGTGTGGGTCTCTGTGGGTCTCTATGAGTGTGGGTCTCTGTGGGTCTCTGTGAGTGTGGGTCTCTGTGGGTCTCTGTGAGTGTGGGTCTCTGTGGGTCTCTGTGAGTGTGGGTCTCTGTGGGTCTCTGTGAGTGTGGGTCTCTGTGGGTCTCTATGAGTGTGGGTCTCTGTGGGTCTCTATGAGTGTGGGTCTCTGTGGGTCTCTATGAGTGTGGGTCTCTGTGGGTCTCTATGAGTGTGGGTCTCTATGAGTGTAGGTCTCTGTGGGTCTGTGAGTCTCTGTGGGTCTCTATGAGTGTGGGTCTCTGTGGGTCTCTATGAGTGTGGGTCTCTATGGGTCTCTATGAGTGTGGGTCTCTGTGGGTCTCTGTGGGTCTCTGTGGGTCTCTATGAGTCTATATGGGTCTCTGTGGGTCTCTATGAGTATGGGTCTCTGTGGGTCTCTGTGAGTTTGGGTCTCTGTGGGTCTCTGTGAGTCTGGGTCTCTGTGGGTCTCTATGAGTGTGGGTCTCTATGAGTGTGGGTCTCTATGAGTCTCTGTGAGTGTGGGTCTCTATGAGTGTGGGTCTCTGTGGGTCTCTATGAGTGTGGGTCTCTATGAGTGTAGGTCTCTATGAGTATGGGTCTCTGTGGGTCTCTGTGGGTCTCTGTGAGTGTGGGTCTCTGTGAGTGTGGGTCTCTGTGGGTCTCTATGAGTGTGGGTCTCTGTGGGTCTCTCTGAGTATGGGTCTCTATGAGTGTGGGTCTCTGTGGGTCTCTGTGAGTGTGGGTCTCTGTGGGTCTCTATGAGTGTGGGTCTCTATGAGTCTCTATGAGTGTGGGTCTCTGTGGGTCTCTATGAGTGTGGGTCTCTATGGGTCTCTATGAGTGTGGGTCTCTGTGGGTATCTGTGGGTCTCTGTGGGTCTCTATGAGTGTATATTGGTCTCTGTGGGTCTCTATGAGTATGGGTCTCTGTGGGTCTCTATGAGTGTGGGTCTCTGTGGGTCTCTGTGAGTGTGGGTCTCTGTGAGTGTGGGTCTCTGTGGGTCTCTATGAGTGTGGGTCTCTGTGGGTCTCTATGAGTGTGGGTCTCTGTGGGTCTCTATGAGTGTGGGTCTCTGTGGGTCTCTGTGAGTGTGGGTCTCTGTGGGTCTCTGTGAGTGTGGGTCTCTATGAGTGTGGGTCTCTGTGGGTCTCTATGAGTGTGGGTCTCTGTGGGTCTCTGTGAGTGTGGGTCTCTGTGGGTCTCTATGAGTGTGGGTCTCTGTGGGTCTCTATGAGTGTGGGTCTCTGTGGGTCTCTGTGGGTGTGGGTCTCTGTGAGTGTGGGTCTCTGTGGGTCTCTATGAGTTTGGGTCTCTGTGGGTCTCTGTGAGTGTGGGTCTCTGTGAGTGTGGGTCTCTGTGGGTCTCTGTGGGTCTCTATGAGTGTGGGTCTCTATGAGTGTAGGTCTCTGAGTATGGGTCTCTGTGGGTCTCTGTGGGTCTCTCTCTGAGTGTGGGTCTCTATGAGTGTGGGTTTATGTGGGTCTCTATGAGTGTGGGTCTCTGTGGGTCTCTGTGGGTCTCTCTGAGTGTGGGTCTCTGTGAGTGTGGGTCTCTATGAGTGTAGGTCTCTGTGGGTCTCTGTGGGTCTCTCTGAGTGTGGGTATCTATGAGTGTGGGTCTCTGTGAGTGTGGGTCTCTGTGGGTCTCTATGAGTGTGGGTCTCTGTGGGTCTCTATGAGTATGGGTCTCTGTGGGTCTCTATGAGTGTGGGTCTCTGTGGGTCTCTATGAGTGTGGGTCTCTGTGGGTCTCTATGAGTGTGGGTCTCTGTGGGTCTCTGTGAGTGTGGGTCTCTGTGGGTCTCTATGAGTGTGGGTCTCTGTGGGTCTCTATGAGTGTGGGTCTCTGTGGGTCTCTATGAGTGTGGGTCTCTGTGGGTCTCTATGAGTGTGGGTCTCTGTGGGTCTCTGTGGGTCTGAGTGTGGGTCTCTATGAGTGTGGGTCTCTGTGGGTCTATGTGGGTCTCTATGAGTCTATATGGGTCTCTGTGGGTCTCTATGAGTGTGGGTCTCTGTGAGTGTGGGTCTCTGTGAGTGTGGGTCTCTATGAGTGTGGGTCTCTATGAGTACGGGTCTCTATGAGAGTGGGTCTCTGTGAGTGTGGGTCTCTGTGAGTGTGGGTCTCTGTGAGTATGGGTCTCTATGAGTGTGGGTCTCTGTGGGTCTCTATGAGTATGGGTCTCTATGAGTGTGGGTCTCTGTGGGTCTCTATGAGTGTGGGTCTCTGTGGGTCTCTGTGAGTGTGGGTCTCTGTGGGTCTCTGTGAGTGTGGGTCTCTGTGGGTCTCTGTGAGTGTGGGTCTCTGTGGGTCTCTATGAGTGTGGGTCTCTGTGGGTCTCTATGAGTGTGGGTCTCTGTGGGTCTCTATGAGTGTGGGTCTCTGTGGGTCTCTATGAGTGTGGGTCTCTATGAGTGTAGGTCTCTGTGGGTCTGTGAGTCTCTGTGGGTCTCTATGAGTGTGGGTCTCTGTGGGTCTCTATGAGTGTGGGTCTCTATGGGTCTCTATGAGTGTGGGTCTCTGTGGGTCTCTGTGGGTCTCTATGAGTCTATATGGGTCTCTGTGGGTCTCTATGAGTATGGGTCTCTGTGGGTCTCTGTGAATTTGGGTCTCTGTGGGTCTCTGTGAGTCTGGGTCTCTGTGGGTCTCTATGAGTGTGGGTCTCTATGAGTCTCTGTGAGTGTGGGTCTCTATGAGTGTGGGTCTCTGTGGGTCTCTATGAGTGTGGGTCTCTATGAGTGTAGGTCTCTATGAGTATGGGTCTCTGTGGGTCTCTGTGGGTCTCTATGAGTGTGGGTCTCTGTGAGTGTGGGTCTCTATGAGTATGGGTCTCTGTGGGTCTCTGTGGGTCTCTGTGGGTCTCTATGAGTGTGGGTCTCTATGAGTGTAGGTCTCTATGAGTATGGGTCTCTGTGGGTCTCTGTGGGTCTCTGTGAGTGTGGGTCTCTGTGAGTGTGGGTCTCTGTGGGTCTCTATGAGTGTGGGTCTCTGTGGGTCTCTCTGAGTATGGGTCTCTATGAGTGTGGGTCTCTGTGGGTCTCTGTGAGTGTGGGTCTCTGTGGGTCTCTATGAGTGTGGGTCTCTATGAGTCTCTATGAGTGTGGGTCTCTATGGGTCTTTATGAGTGTGGGTCTCTGTGGGTCTCTGTGAGTATGGGTCTCTGTGGGTCTCTATGAGTGTGGGTCTCTATGAGTGTGGGTCTCTGTGGGTCTCTATGAGTGTGGGTCTCTGTGGGTCTCTATGAGTGTGGGTCTCTATGAGTGTGGGTCTCTGTGGGTCTCTATGAGTGTGGGTCTCTATGAGTGTGGGTCTCTATGAG